GGGGTGGGGTGGGAGAATGAGAGATTGCATTGCGAGGAAGAGTTGTATTTGGTGCCATGTAACAGTCAGGGCAGTTCCTAGCAAAGCCAGATATGGTCCCTGCAGCGTGGGTGAAGCGGCTCAGCCGGTTGCATGACCAAGCACCGGCAACACCATTCTCAGCTGTCAAAGAGATCGTGGAGACGGAACTCGGCGCAAACATGAATCTCCTATTTGACTCATTCTGTGAGGAGCCTTTAGGTTCTGCTTCGATTGCGCAAGTATGTGGTGAGGGTGTATTGCCGCCCAAGCCAATTGAAATTGACTATCTCTTTAATTAACTTTTGTAAGGTCTTGTGCCGAGAAAAAGGGTGACAAAATTGCCTGAAGTTGTTTACAAGCAGTAGAGAAATGAATTTGACCGAAACGAGAGAGAAACGAAAAAGGAGAAAAAAAGTAAAAGCTAAGTTTTGCAGCCTAGCTCAGTTGGTTGAGCATGCAAGTGGTATTCAGGAGGTCATGGGTTCAATCCCCTCGTGCGGCAGGCTTGGTGTTCACCAGCTGAGATAGTTGGCTTGCCCCGCTGGCCGGTCTTAGTAGGGGCCTGGGTTCTACCCTCGGCCCTGCTCCTGCCATCCCTCGCCTGGGGTTAGGCTCAACCCTAGTGGACCCTCAGTATATATATCGTCAAACAGAGCTGCCCGATAAACCGTAGGCAGAGAGGGAGAAGAGCACAACAAATGAGGGGCTGTGACAAACTGTTTTGTCAGAGTTTCACCTACCTACTCATCAGGAGGAGGCTGAACCCTCGAAAACAGTCTGCCGAATCCCCGAACTGATGACACTGTAAGTGATAATCCACCTTAACCCCGGTTGTGGTTAAGCATCAACGACTGCCCGACAACTGATACCTTGAGGTGGGCACCAACCACTGCCCTCAAGGTACCTGCTACGAAAATCAAAGCAGACTATCATGCACCCACATCAGATGGAAAACTCTACAGACTGTCGGTTCACACCCAATCACAAGCCAGCAAAACACCCACGAAACAAAGAAAGGTCTGTCACAGCCAAAAAATACACTCCAGACACGCCCCTGGCACTAGAGGCACAACATATATATAGATATACAAACGAGGGGCTGTGACAAACTGTTTCGTCGGAGTTTCACCGACTCGTCAGGAGGCTGAAACCTCAACAGTCTGCAGAACCCCCGAACTGATTACACAGTAAGTGATAATCCACCTTAGCCCCGGATGTGGTTAGGCATCAACGACTGCCTGGCAACTGATACCCTGAGGTGGGCACCAACCACTGCCCTCAAGGTACCTGTGTCGAAAAGCAAAGCAGACTATCACTCACCCACACCAGATAGAAGACTCTACAGACTGTCGGTTCATACCCCATCACAAGCCAGCAAAACATCCACGAAACAAAGAAAGGTCTGTCACAGCCAAAAAATACACTCCAGACACCCTGCTGGCACTAGAGGCACAGCATGGCCTCGTAGTGACGGCCCCGACCACTGCCGCTCGACCATATATATATCGTCACAATATATATATGATGAGTCGGTGAAACTCCGACGAAACAGTTTGTCACAGCCCCTCGTTTGTTGTCCTCTTCTCTCTCTCTGCCTACGGTTTACCGGGCAGTTCTGTTTGTGACGAAATATATATATATACACAACAGTTTGTCACAGCCCCTCGTTTCTTGTCCTCTTCTCCCTCTCTGCCTACGGTTTACCAGGCAGCTCTGTTTGACGATATATATGTTTGAGTCAGTTTGATGATATTTTTTTAAATATTATTATTATTATTATTTTTTTATTATTATTTTCAATCATTTGCTGCACGATGACTTGTTATTGCATGTAATGTGTGTCAATATATGTATCATGTGATGATTGAAGGATTGGATTGTCGTATGATTCATATCCATCTCATAACACATACCCCTTGTGCCCCTTGAGATATCATCATTGAACTGAAAGGCCGCAAAAGTGCTAGAAGTATGTTTCATTTGTCTTTTTCTTCAACTTCAGTGCACAGTGTTTCGTTTTGAGTTTGTGAAAGATCGACGCTCTGTTTGCAAGAGTGCTCGTGCCTTTGTGAGTGTTATTGTATGTTCATTGGAATGTATGAATCGCCGCAGTCCATACTCAACTTGAGTGGCGTATGAGTAGAAGGCTTGAGTTTCCTTGGTACGATGATATCAGGAATTGTTGGGGAGGAGGTGTGGACGCCATGATATTAAAACTCGCAATATCTTCTTCTTTATCATTGCATTGTGTGTATTTTTCTCTATCTCGCTGCAGTCCATCCGCACCGACTACACTATCTTGTTTATTTTGTTTTTCTTTTTCCTTTAAAAAAAAATGCACACGTTCAAGGTAGGGCAGTTGGCATTTCAGCTGGAGTGTACTAACTGAGATAAGCCAGTTGGTATAGAAAAGAGACTCTTGATACGACAAATCTGCAAATAACTCGATGATAATTATTACATCGATATTCGCTAGTAAATAAAAATTATAAAATATAGCCCGTACCCTGCAAATGAATTGGATGCTCAAACTCTTTCCCCAAATTGTTGCCACAAGTTCGCGATCCTGGTCACTATAGAATTACTCATTTGATATTATGTATGTATGTATGTATGTATGTATGTATGTATGTATGTATGTATGTATGTATGTATGTATGTATGTATTATTATTAGTATTGTTTACTAATTGTTAACTAAGTGCAAAATTGCAAATTGATGAAATGAGAAAAGAAACAATATTTTAATTTTTAAGTTTTAAGTTTTAACTGTTTCGTGTTTGGATAGGCCTTTTTTTTAGGTTCAATATTTTAACCCTTCTTTCCGATAGATTTTTTCAGGTTCACAAAGCCAAGCTTCCGAGTAATGGTGCAGATGTGGCAGTAAAGGTACGTGCATCATGCATGCATCACCCATGTCAACAATCTCAACTTTTTTTTTCCTTTTTCTTCTTTTAAGTTCTTTAAGGAACATTTTTTTAATTTCTAAATGCTTTGTCAGAAATATATCGTTGTTAATCATCCTGAGTGCGTGTTTTTTTTTTAGTTCAAACTTCAAACTTCAAAGAGAATTCACTTTTGGATTTTGGAATATTGATCAGCAATTTCAGCAGCAAAGAATAATGGATTGCATTGGAAAACAAAATGTCGGATAACATCATCATCATCATCATCATCATCATCATCGTCATCATCATCATCAACATAATAATAATAATCTGTTACGATCCTGGTCATTCCCAAAGTGCAAATTCCCAATGAAAGACACTGCCACCCAATTGCGAAAGAAATGAAAGCACTTGCGAAGAGATAGAGACCAAAGAAGAGAGAAAGAAGAAGAAGAAGAAGAAGAAGAAGAAGGAGAAGGAGAAGAAGAAGAAGAGGCAGAAGCAGCAGCAGCAGCAGCAGCAGCAGCAGAAGAAGAAGAAGAAGAAGAAGAAGATGTACACCAGCAAGACCAATGGCAAATCCCCTTTCTCTCTCCACCTTCCTCCTCCTCCTTCACTTCGCCAATCTTATTCTTCTTCCAATAATAATAATAACAATGAGTGGATGAACCAGAATCAATATCCGAAGTTCCTTCTTACTGCTGACACAACAACAGGTCCACCATAGCTACGGCTTCCTCCTTCTCTCTCCTCTCACATGCCTACGCTATGGCGGACTACTAAGGGCTCTGCCCTCCTGTGCAAAGGACAACGCAAAGCAGCTATGTTGCTGCACTCCTGTCCAAAGGACAACCCAAAGCAGCTATGCCGCTGCTCACTAAGCCACCATGCCTGACTCTGACTCGAGCTTCCTTGGTGTGGCACTACCCCAACTGGGGCGTGGCAGCTGTCTGGCACCCACCAAGATTTGCAAAAATTGACAAGACCAGGGCACATTGAGATTCAGGGGCCCCGCCTTCACTTAGGGCGGGCACGCGCCTGCTGCAGGGCCTTATGCCGAGGGGTAAACCCTTGCACTCGGGTTGGTGTTCACCAGCTGAGATAGTCGGTTGCCTCCCCTGGTTGATCTTGGTACGTTCTGCGATCCCTTGCTGGGGTTTAGATGCCGGCTTCTGGTAGTTTCCTTCCCAGCAGATTTAGTCATGGTATCCCCTGTATAGGCTTATGAGTAATGGTGGGTAGGTAGGTAGTGTGAGGTGTAATTGAGTGAAGAATGTAGCTTAATTATATAAAAGAAAAGGGGTACCACAAAGCAAGCCAAAGTAAAGATAGCAAAGAAAGGACTGTACAAGGAAAAGGCAATAAAACAGCTTTATTGTGCTTTATATTGTTTGCTATGGAGGTAAAGCTGTTCCAATTATGGATTTGCTCACCTTAGAGTCCTTTATAGTTTGCAATAGAGGTAAAGCTGCTTCAATTGTGGATCTGCTTATAACACACACACACACACACACACACACACACACACACACACACACACACACACACACACACACACACACACACACACACACACACACAC